CAATGCCCTATTGCTTCATGACATCACCAGAGTATCCGCAGCTCATATGTAATTCGGATTAACTTGCAGTGACACCTCTGAATTGTGGCGGGCGATGAGTGGAGGCGATGATTTCTCCATCCACGTGCTGCATTTACTCCTCGCCAAGCTGGACCATCAGGCTGAGACGGACTGCAGCTCAGCGGAGGACACCGCAGCATTTGGGCCGCTGGCAGTAAGTGAGAGCCCAGCCCCAGGTGTGCACGGATGTGACTGGGATGGGATTGACTGGGAAGGGATGTGACTGGGAGGAGAGCCAATTGCTAAGGGAGGTGCTCCCCGGGCTGTCCTGTGCTCTCCTGGATGTGAGGAAGAGACCTTTGGACTTGGAGTTGTGGATTTCCAGATGTCTTCCCCGGGCTGACTCTGGTCCTCTCTCTCCCTTCAGGCAACCTGTGCTGCTTTGGAGATTATCAGCACCCTGCAGTGTGGCCAGGTGCTGAGGGACATGCTCCCAGCCATGCTGCGTGCTCTTGTGGAGCAAACGAGCCACACCGTGGGGCAAAAAATGCCAGCGCCCGGCGGGAGCCTGTGCAGCATTACGGAGGGCCAAGTCCACGTGGTGGGCAACCCTTGCAGGTGAGGGGCAAGCTCAGACTGCTGTCAGAGGTTTGGCCTCACTTCAGGCCCGCTGCCTGCAGGGTGATGTCTCCTTGCCAAGGGCTGTGCTGAGCTGTCTTGGTCCTGGCAGCTGAAAGACACGGGGCTTGTCTGCCAAGGGCCGAGTCTGACATGTTACGGCTGTTTGATCCTCCCATCTGACCTCCTCTGGGCTTGGGAGAGCCTCCACGCTTGCCTTCTGGCTTCCAGCATTGATGCGTGCAAAGCCCAGCCCGCCCTGTCCCTGCCAGGGGACAAAGGCATGAGAAACAATGGCAGCATCGGTTTGATCTGAGCTGTCTGCCTTAGCCATCGGGAAGGCTTGGAGAGCAGAAGTAGCAACCAGTTTGGAGACCTTTGTCATCCCTACAGCTGAAGCTGTGGGCAGACAGGGCCTTTTCTCCCTTTGGGGGGGCCAGGCACATGGGTATCACACCGCACTTGGCTGGGTGTGTATAAGTGTCTGAGTAACGCACCTCCCGAGTGACGGGGAGTTTTGGTCCTGCTCCGGCTGCAGCACCTCCTGACAGCCTGTCCACGTGGCCTTCTCTTTCCCCAGGCTTTCCATGGAGGCCCTGGCCTGCACCATTTCGAAGGGCATAGGGGAAAGTGTGGCCGCATCCCTGTGCAAGGAGGGAACGTGGCCCTTGCTCGAGTGCCCAGAGACACACCACGAGGGGGTGTGCCAGCTGGCCAGGTAAGAGGCAGGCTGCCTTGCATCTGCGCTCTAGGCAGAGGGGAGAGCGGCGGAGGGGGCACTTTCCATGCTGAAGCTGCAGGGTCGCGTGGGGCTGGGGACAGGGAGCTTGTGCCCCAAGAGGTGAGAGCTGCCGCCTCCGAGCAACCGAGCGCTGGCAGTGCCCAGCCGGTCCCACAGCCAGGGGTCTTCTCTTGCAGGGCTCCTCACCACTTCTGCCACGTGACAAGGAGAGGCAGACAGGGATTTCGTTACTGAGCCCTCATTCTAGCGAGCTTGGTCCTAACTAGTGCATCCTCTATAAGCACCCAGCATCTCAGGAAGACGCTGCTCTCAACCAAGCAGTGCCCCCATCTGCTCGCATTGACACCACCTCTCCTGCTCACATGAAGCCTCTGCCTTGATGCTTGTCCTGGCTCTAAGAAGACAAGCATGCCCAGGAGAGCACCACGGGCTGAGGCTCTTCCTCGTGGTGTTTTGTGGGACTCTGCTCTGG